GTCGTTGGAAAATCAAAGATCTCTCTTAAATATTTTTTTAAATGTAATAATAACAATGATGATGCACGATCCGATCGGCCCTAGTTGCTGGTAACCTTGCCTCTTACGGAGTGGGAGATGCCTAAAACAGGGAGGAAACATGAGATTCTCGGGGGAGGAACTCGATGGGAATGCTTCGACGCTCAAGTTAGCACTCTTGGGAAAGCAAGGAAGATGAGAAATTCTCTTAGATCAGAAGGCGCAAAAGTATCACTTACCTTTACTAAGAGGGCCTTTTATAACTGCCCTGATGTAACAAGTGTTCTTTTCGCCGCGCCATCAAGTGCCAACCACCGTGCCTACAATCGCCACTCTAGCGTCCAAATGTGTGTCATGGGTGGGCTATGCATGTACTTTTGTATGGGGGATTGCCAATGGCATTATTGTAATACTGCAGTATGCTTTTTGATGTTTCTTATTGTCACTCCCCCAAAAGCTTAATGTACACTTTGAGGGGAGGTAGGTAGTCGAATGAGCTCATAAGCGTGTAAAGGTTAAGCACGAGATCCCCTCGACACTGTACTATGTGCTTGTTCTTACCACTGATTAATGCAATACAAATAGCCTTTTGTTAATTCGTGTGCCATTTTGTGTGTGTTTGCTTTGTTGCGTAGGCTTACTCGCCCATTTCGAGTGCCGAACGGGGCCCGAACGATTACCCCCATGACAGTTGGTATCAAAGTAGGAGCTCCTTTTAAGCCATTTGACCCGCAACGCGAGTTACAGCATGAAGCACAACAGGGACATCATAAAGGAGATCGAGCATGGTCTCTCCACATCCCATGAGGCCAATGATGCCCCCGCCGACGACATCGGCAAGGACAAGGAACCGAAGACCAGCAAACATGAGAAATCTTCCAACAAGCATGTAGTCGTTGAGTTGCGCATGCTGCGTTGCGAAGCCACCGTAGGTGGGATGCGAGACTCGACAGACGAGCTGCATCAAAACATGGAAGCCATGGACAACACACTAGTCAATATTGAAGGTCACTTGAGCGGAGTCGTGGACGAGGTCCAAGACAAAATCAATGGCACGCTCAAGCAATTTTGCAGCACTGTGCACCAACAAGAAGCAAGCTCCTCCAACTCGCAGGTCCAAGATAGGCTTGACAGTTTTCAAGCCTAGCTCGATGAGATGAAGAACGAGTGGGCAACGTGGAGAAGAAGCACCTCCACATCAATGGCCGTCCAGGCCCAACTAGATGAAATGAGAGTGGAGTGGGCCTCACCGAAGTCAGCCGCATGTGCCTCCTCCGACACCCAAGCTCAATTAGAGGAGCTCAAAGCAGAATGTGCAATCTTGAAGAGGGCCGTCGCTAATCCAGCCAGCACTTCCTTTGCACATACTCCCTCCCACATCAAGATTAGGGAGCCAACTCCCTATTCGGGTACCCGCAATGCACTAGAGCTCGACAACTTCCTGTGGCAAATGGAACAGTACCTTGCCGCCGCCAATGTGACTGATGAAATGACTCAGGTACGCACTGCTACTATGTATTTGACCGATGTCGCTATGTTGTGGTGGCGCAAAAGGTGTGTTGATATAGAACGTGGTACGTTTGTTATCCGTACCTGGGCTGACTTTAAAAGAGAGCTGAAGAGACAGTTCTACCCAGAGAACGTGGAATGCCTCGCTCGTTGCAAGATGAAGACTCTCAAGCACAGCGACTCCCTCCATGACTATGTCAAAGAGTTTTCAGCCCTCACATTAGAAGTCACCGCCATGTCAGACAAGGACTTATTGTTCAACTTCATGAATGGCCTAAAGCCTTGGGCTGAGCTTGAGCTCCAACGACGCAATGTTCAGGACCTTGCCTCCGCCATGGCCGTGGCTGAACAACTTATTGAATGGAGATTATCGGATGATGAAGGAAGCAGACCAGCCAGCCCGCGTACCACACATTCGAGTGGGGGAGATAGACAACCAAGTCCCCCGAAGGAGAAGCCACCCTTCAACCACAAACCAGTCAAGTACCACAAAGGGAAGCAGCCCCAAGAAAGTCAAAACTACTACAACAACAGATATCAAGGGAGACCCAGCCATCCTCCCATTTGCTACATTTGTGGGGAGGAGCACTTTACCAGGAATTGCCCAAAGCGAGCAAAGATGAATGCCCTCATTGCCAAGCTAAGTGATGATGAGCAGAGTGATAGAGAACGGAGTACCCATGCGCCAAGAGTGGGTGCCCTCCAACTTTTCAATGCCATGATGAAGAAAGGGGCTACCTCCAAACAGCCATCCTCAGTCAAGAGAGGACTGAGGTATGTTGATGTAACCATTGGCGGGAGGCCAACCAGGGCCCTAGTTGACACAGAGGCCACTCACAACTTCATATCCATTGCAGAGGCCAAGAGACTTAATTTGGCCATTTCCAAAGAGCCTGGCTGGCTCAAAGTAGTTAACACAAGTGCCAAACCTACTGAAGGCATGGCTCGCCGAGTAAGAGTACAACTCGGCACCTGGGATGGAGAGATTGACCTCTCTGTCGTTCACATAGATGATTTTGATATTGTCCTTGGAATGGATTTCATAATACAGGAAAAAGCAGCATTGGCGCCTCACCTCGACACCCTGATGATCTTGGACGAGCGGTCACCTTGCATGGTTAACATGATTGCCACCGCCAGCACCAAGAAGAAGCACGTCTCTACCTTGCAACTCCAACACCACCCTCCACCATTGATGGCAGAGAGATCTACAACAACCACCATTGCAACCAGAAGTGATAGCAGCAACTCTGGGAAGAAGTCAGCGCTAGTGCCAGTGCTAACGTTAGTGCTAGTGCCGCCACAACAACAGCGGAAGCCACCTTTGCAGCAGAAGCCGCACACACCCACAACTGGTGGGGAAGGCCATGTCAAACTTTGCCCACACCTACTACCACAACCACCGGGGAGAGCGAGTGCCACCCAAGCCATTTAGGGACCACATTCACATCATCCGTCAAGATAAATCCCGTAGTAGCCTTGTGGGTCACCCTTGGGGAAAAATGCATGAGAACCAACACCCTAACAATCTAAAATACCATTTTCACCCGGCCTTGGTTACCAACTTTCCTACCACCATTAGGAACAAGTCAAAATCCTATTTTGAAGCAGCCAAGCAGGGACTTAACTTAGGGACTAGCCATAGGTTTTCCCACCATCAAGAACATCCACTAGCAATCTACCCAACCTACTATTTGGGCCTTGGAAGAAACCCGGTTCGTGGAGCAGTCGAAAAACCTTCCTTCACCAACAACAAGTTCAAGCCTCAAGTAGAAGATAGTCTTCGAGGACAAAGACTGAATTGAGTGGGGGAGACTGTAACAAGTGTTCTCTTCGCTGCGCTATCAAGTGCCAACCACCGTGCCTACAGCCGCCACTTTAGTGTCCAAGTGTGTGTCATGGGTGGGCTATGCATGTATTTTTGTATGGGGGATTGCCAATTGCATTATTGTAATACTGTAGTATGCTTTTTCACCTTTTTGATGTTTTTTATTGTCACTCCCCCAAAAGCTTAACGTACTCTTTGAGGGGAGGTAGGTAGTTGAGTGAGCTCATAAGCGTGTAAAGGTTAAGCACGAGATCCCCTCGACACTGTACTGTGTGTTTGTTCTTACCACTGATTAATGCAATACAAATAGCCTTTTGCTAATTTGTGTGCCATCTTGTTGCCATTTTGTGTGTGTTTGCTTTGTTGCGTACGCTTACTCGCCCATTTTGAGTGCTGCACGGGGCCCCAA